GTGTGAACGTTCAGCTGCTGTTAGCTGTTTGTGTGAACGCTCGGCTGTTGTTAGCTGTTTGTGTGAACGTTCGGCTGCTGTTAGCTGTTTGTGTGAACGTTCGGCTGCCGTTAGCTGTTTGTGTGAACGTTCGGCTGCTGTCCTGTTGAAGTGGCCTCTGAGCGTCTTGTAGCAGAAATAAACGCCTGCAGGACTGAGAGCTGAAGTCTTGATGCTGAAGATCAGTCCGAGCTGACGAGGACAAACTCCAGTTTTTCGACCGAACGGACGTGACCCGACACGGGGGAGAGAAACCCCCCTCCCCCCAGTGACCCGACACGGGGGAGAGAACCCCCCCCAGCTCTCCCACATTTTACGCCGCTCTAACAGAACCAGAGGAACCCGCCCACACAGACGCAGGTCATGACCTCTGAGCTGAAAACAGCAACACAGCGCCCGTCGAATGTGATCTTGGTAGTCCGGCTCCAAGTCCAGTAAATTGAACTTCCTGTCAGCTGGACTCATCAGAACCTCCTGAACCTCTGGACTCATCAGAACCTCCTGAACCTCTGGACTCATCAGAACCTCCTGAACCTCTGGAAACTAAACAACAAACAAAATAAAATCCAGGAGCTCTGATATGGGAATAAACTAAAATAAAATCTAATGTTTTTTTTTTAACCCTGACCGTCTTCCACTCAGCTGCTCTTCTTCTTCTCTCCAGCGTTCCCATCTGATCCGGTTCTGGAGGATCCGGGTCCCATCCTGCTGGGCCTGGAGGCGGAGCTTCGATGTGACGTCGCCAACGTGTTCTCAGCCGACCAGCTGAGGGTCCGCTGGCTGTCGGGAAACACCACCCTGATGTTGGAGTCCTTCAAATTCTCCGGCTCTTTACAGAACCTCTCTTCAGTTCTGAAGTACCGGGTCGATGAGGTCCTGCAGGTTCTGACCTGCAGGGTGGAGCTGCTGACGGAGAGTGGAGGCGTTTGGAGGTCCAGAAGGACCAGCATCCCTCTGCAGGTCCACTGTAAGAGTCTGTTTTTATAAAACTGTACAGCTGAGACCCAAAGAGCCCGGATCCAGGTTCTGCTGAACCGCTCTGTCTCTGACCCAGATCCTCCAAGGACGACGTCTCTGTCTGTGAGTCCAGGCGAGGAGGTGATGAAGGACGAGACGGTGACCTTCACCTGCCGCTCCGATGGAGCTCCGCCCCCTACGCTGGTGCTGAAGAGGAACGGGGAGGAGCTTCTGAGGATTGACTCCGCCTCCTCCCCATCGCTGACCTTTAACCTCTCCTCCACGCTGCTGGAGGACTCCGGCTGGTACCAGTGCGAGGCCTCGAACCAGTACGGCTCCCTGCTGGCCTCCAGGAACATCACCGTCAAAGGTCAGAGGTCAAAATTCAAAACTCAAAACTTTATTGACGTTGAACATTTTTCTAAAACAAGATTTTCACAGAAGATCAAATTGATTTATTTTTATAAAATAACCTTCAGTTTTTAAACCGTGAAGAGCTTTGATCGGGGAGACGCTCGTCCAGTTTCAGTGCTTCGGCTGTTATCAGAGACTTCGGCCTCTTTGAGCTCTGACTCTGTTGACGTTACGAGACTCTTCAGCCGATCGGACCGAGCCAGAACCGAGGCTCAGAAAAACACACCCAGTCACAAACCAGTCAAACAAAACCAATTCTACAGAACGGAAGAAAAACTAAAAGCGTTACAGCAGCACCAAAAGCTGCTCATTACCTGTCTGTTAGCAAAATATCTCCTGAAATCCTCCGAAGGTACCGTAGCCTCTGGATGAACATCTACAACTGATGAACCCAGTAAAGATGGCCGCCGCGGCTAATCCGCAGAACACACAAATATTTTTCATTCAGGCATTTTTACAGATTATGAGATTTGTTGTGGAAGTAGCTGAGAGTCATCCCTGACACATAATCTGAGTTTAATAATCTGAGTTTAATAATCTGAGTTTAATAATCTGAGTTTAATCTGTTTTCACACAGTTTAAATTAAAACAGATGAAATAAAGTTTAATCTGAAATGCTAAATCTTCAGTTTGGTCACTTTCTACACGACGGGACAAACTGAAAAGAATCAAGCCGGCGTGACGTCCAGACCCAGACCCAGGACCGGTCCGGTACCAGGTGATGAGCGGGTCAAAGGTCAACAACTTCACACCTTCAAAGGGTCGTCTGGGACTGGTTATCAGAACCAGAAGAGTGAAAACTCTGAGCCTCTCCGGGTTTTTAACCAGCCAGTCCAGGAAGCAGCTGTCAGAGCCGGTTGTCTTCATGTCTCCGTTATCTGAGGAGGTCAGGAGGGCCCGCTGGGCCGGCTGTCAGAACCTCCTTCAAGTGTTAGGATCAGTCGCATAGCGCCTCCTCCTCACTCCTGTCCAGAGTCGGCTGCGATTCATCACCGCTCACGTCGACACGCCGGGAGGGAACTCCTGTCAGCTGAACCCGACACAGACCGACTTCGGCTGATTCATCAGCCGGACATCAGCCGAACGGTTTGGCAGATAGGTCGGGCGTCGATGAAACTTGGTAGGATTTATTTTGTCTTTACAGCAAACCAAATGAAGATGAGGAGAACGTGTAAATATGTGCTTTAAAACCTGTAGCGCTGGTCTTCCACTCATCACGAGTTAAAAAATTAATTAGTTTTAGTTTTGGGTAAACGTCCCTCAGAGCATGGACTTTGTTGTCCCTCAGCAGGCGTCTCCTGGTCCTCAGGCTTTTTGTCTCCATCAACGAGCTTCTAGCTGAACTCTGGCTGGTACTGGACCGCTCTTCTTCTTCTTGGTTCAGTTCGTCTTCCTGGAACGGACCCGCCTTTCAGTCGGAGTCCACAGGTTTTCATTCAGGTTCAGGTCAGAACTTTTGGAGGTCCGATCCAGAACCAGCCTGATTTGTCCAATCAGAAACCAGGTTTGGGTTTATGGTCCTGTTGGACCCAACTGTGTCCAGGTTTCAGTGGTCCGGCTGCTGGTTTGAGGTGAAGCTGAAGAATCTGAAGGTAGTCCTCCTCCTTTGTACCACAGCATGATGCTGCCACCACCATGCCTCACACCTGGTCCTGGTTTGTGGTCCAAAAGTCTCACCTTGACTCCTCCAAACGTTCTTCTTGTCTTCGTGTCCAAACAGCTCAGTCTTTTTGTTTGACCAGTTTAGCTACCGGTAGCCTCCTTTGCTGTTTTACTTATTTTAGCTTGTAGCTAGTTTTCGGCTTCTTCTAGCTTCCAGTTTGTTTTATTGCTTCTTTGAGCTTCTTGTTAGCCTTTTGCTAAATTTAGCTTTTAGCTATCATTTGCAACTTTTGGCCTCCAAACATCCGTCTTGTGTCCAAACAGCTCAGTCCTCGTCTCTTCTGACTGTCAAACTTGTCTCCAGAAGACATTTGTCTCGTCCACGTGGACAGCTGCAGGTTTCAGTCCAGCTCAAAGGTTTTGGAGCTTCTTTCCGGGTCGTTAAAAAACCAAAACTGGTTTCACTCTGGACCGAGACACTGGGGGTCCAGGAGTTTCCGGCTCGTGGCCTTGAGCCTCGGTGGTTCTGGGTCGTTCCGGATCATTCAAACCACTGGAGGAGGACAGTTTGTGTCTTTTCCACCAGGACCTACCAGCTGCAGTCAGTCATGATCTCCAACAGGAAGTTGGGTCGAGTCGAGACAGTTTTCTGGAGGTTTTCACTCACTGCGTCTTCATGTTGGTTCAGGTTTTATTAGAACATTTCTAAAGAAGAAGACGTCTAACTTGTTTGTTTTGTTTTCCAGCTGCCCCGAGGAACACCACGGTCCTTGTCCTGCCATCTACGGTGGTCCAGGAGGGACAAAACATCACTGTCTGCTGCCAAACCATCAGCTTCCCTCCGTCTGCAGTGATCCTGAAGAAACTGAACAACGGACTGGAGCTTTATTCCACCAACGGCACCTTCCTGCTGATCAACGTCACCGCCAGAGACTCGGGCTTGTATCAGGTCACCGTGTCCAACGGCCTCGGGTCCGAGATTAAAAACTTCAGCCTCAGCGTCAGAGGTCAGTCGGACCGGACCGTCTTCTCTGTGTCTGAACGAAAACGTCTCATCTGGTCTAAATGTTCTTTGTTCTGCAGGAGTTACAATGAGACCTCTGGGCAGCGGCGTCGTCATCGTCCCGGCTCTCTGCGTCGCCGCCGGACTCGCAGTGTCCGCACTGATCTTCGACTACATCAGGAGGTCCAGGAAGAAGGGTTTTTACCAGCTGCCCCAGTCGGCTCCACCTTCAGCCTGAAGCTGAAGGTCCTGCAACACGACCTCCACCACACCTGAACTCGTTACAACCAGGTTCTAAAACGTGTTTTTAAGGCTCGACTGCTGTGTTTGCCTGGAGGGGGGACATTCGGACCAGATGGGTCCCCTCGTTGGGTTTGAGGCACCAACCTGTGACCACGAACAATCGGGTGGACTCAGCGTCCCGTTAAGAGGCGACCTTACAGACTGCAGTGACACCAGAAAGCCTTTGGAGACCATCCCAACTTTAAATCGGATCACGTGACTTTGATTTACCGCCGCGTCGCTGAAACCTGGATCTCACTGAGCTGCAGCTGTTGGACCCAAAAATGAGAGAAAGTTGGTGGTTTTTGTTTCTTGCGACCACCGAGCCGTGCAGCCACGTCGCATGGTCCGGTTTTTGAAAATGGTGGTCTGTTTTGTGTGCATGGCTCGTGCCCATTTCATACTCATCTCTGCCATTTCTTAATTCATTTTGTACCTGTCTTGGCCCACTGCATAATCACCTCGGCCCACTTTGTACCCATCTTGGCCCACTTTTTACTTGCATCAGCATACTTCCTACATGCCTCTGCCCACTTTGTACCCATCTTGGCCCACTTTTTACCTGCCTCAGCCCGCTGCATATCCATCTCGGCCACTTTATATTCACTTTGTACTCACCTCTGCCCACTTCGTACCCACCTGCCCACTTTGTACCCACCTCTGCCCACTTTGTACCCATCTTGGCCCACTTTTTACTTGCCTCAGCATCTTCCTACCTGCCTCGGCCCACTTTGTGCCCACCTCTGCCCACTTTTTACCTGCCTCAGCCTTCTGCATATCCATCTCGGCCACTTTATATTCACTTTGTACTCGCCTCGGTCCACTTCGTACCCGCCTCGGCCCACTTAGTACCCACCTGCCCACTTTGTGCCCACCTCTGCCCACTTTGTACCCACCTCTGCCCACTTTGTACCCATTATTGCCCACTTTTTACTTGCCTCAGCATACTTCCTACCCGCCTCTGCCCACTTTGTACCCACCTCTGCCCACTTTGTACCCGCCTCTGCCCACTCTGTACCCGCCTCAGCCCACTTTGTACCCACCTCAGCCCACTTTGTACCCGCCTCTGCCCACTTTGTACCCGCCTCAGCCCACTTTGTACCCACCTCAGCCCACTTTGTACCCGCCTCTGCCCACTTTGTACCCGCCTCAGCCCACTTCGTACCCGCCTCAGCCCACTTCGTACCTAGCTAGGTAGCCACCCCCACAGCTCACTTGAGGACAAAAGCTTTGAGACATTTCAGAGACTCACTTGCCATTCTCTAATTTTAGACACAAGCTGTCACGGCAGGTTTGTGTTCGTACCTGTAAACAAAAAGCAACCTTCTCGTATGTCTTGTAATGTTTTTGGAGCAGTTTAGGACAGTTTGTAACTGAGCTGTGACTGGTGAGGACTGGTTGGAGACACAAAATTGTGAGAAAATGGACACATTTTCAGTTGGAATCCCACTAAGTTGGTCCTTAAGACAAGTTTGTGAAAATGTTTGGGTGCAATTTTACCACAAAGTGTCTTAATCGTCTCAAATTGATGACTTCTTTTTAAAAATAATTATTTTATTATTATTCCAGTCAGTGGTGGTTTTCTTTCACCAGTTTGTAAACGCTCTCAAAGTCGTCGGGCGTCTCAACGATTCTGTGACCGACACATTCGTCATCGCCTCAATGTTTCAGACTTGTTTGAAATTCCAGCGGCACGAGACCGAGGCAGCCAGGACAGTAGGAGCCTTGGAGAACGTTTCCAGACTTCTCATTATTTTGTCCTTTCAGTTTCCTCCTTTTGTAGATTTGGTACCGGTAAATGTGTTTAATTCTTTTCTCTTTGTTTTTATTAAAACTATTTATGTCCTCACTCGACCTCTCAGAGCCGTAGATTTTTTTGTTTGTTCCAGGAGTGATTCCCCCCCCCTCCCATCTTTCTCTTTCGGTTTTTCTCTGCTGTTTACTGGAAGTCAAGACGTCTCGACCGGTTGCCGTGGTGACACTGGAGCTGCAATACGCCTCGAGTCTCTCATTTAAAGGATAAACTGTTTGTGTTTCTGTGTCAGAGCTGCCTCTGGCTCGGGGAGAAACCTCCCAGCCTCGTTGAAGCTGGAGCAGAACGAGCGGCGTGTTTCTGTGTGGAGGTAGAAATTGACCAGAAAAATTAAAACGACAGAACAATTGAAACGACAGAACGACTGAAACGATAGAAAAACTAAAACGACAGAAAAACTAAAACGACAGAACGATTGAAACGACAGAAAAACTAAAACGACATGCTGGTGAAGATTCTCAGTCATCCAGGACATGATGAATTCAAAAAGCGTTCAATACAAAAACAACTGGACTTTATTTGTAACAGAAGGCGAAACGTCTTTTGAGAAAACCTATAAAGCAACTTTAAAACTGATTCCCTGCCGGTTTTCACACCTGATGGAAGCAGAGGGGCCTCGACTGTGAATTAGAGGAACAAAGACCTTAAGAAACCTCCACTGTTAAGGTGTGGAGGTGTGACTTGTCAAATCTACAGATGTGTGTCTTATCTCACTCAGCCTTATAACCTGAATCTCTCACTCTGCTCTTTGAATTGAGAAAGCTCCTCGGATGAGGAGAGAAACGTCTCCTGTTACAAATAAAGTCCAGTTGTTTTTGTGTTGAACGCTTTTTGAATTAAAACAACAGAAATGAGCAGCTGCTGAGTTCGGATTCCTCACATCAGCACTGAATCACTGGGATTGCTCTGACGGGTCTTTGCGGGTTGAACAGAATATTTTAAAAAGCATCTGTGGCTTTTGTCTCCAGCACACAGCCGATTGGCTCCTGGGCTTGTCGCCATGGAAACTGGATGGCGAGGTGTGAAGAGAGGGGAGCGAATGCAGATCAGGCGTCGCTGTCGTCTCGCTGCGTTTGGACTGGTTTCAGTTCTGACCCTTCGGTCTGTCCCTCTCACGCACAGCGGCGCTCTGTCCTGCAGGACTGTTTCGCTGCACGCTGGCTCTCTGCAACATCGACCTCCAGTCATGTGATGCGGTCTCCACGGCAACCAGGCGAACCCCTGATGAAGACCAGGGAGTTGCTGAAAGCTGCAAAAACAGCTTTCATGAACTGATCTTTGCAATAAGGAAGTTTGACTTTATGTCCTAAAATATAAAATTGTTTTTATCTAATAATGTGATTCACAGGATACGTTGGTGGGGGAAAAGCTTTTTAAAGAACCTACTCTTAAATGTGTTAAAAATATTAAGATTTACTAGAAACGGTCATCTTAAGATGGCCGATGCGTCTCCGTCTGCTTCTGTTGTACAAAAGCCGACCCATAAAAACCCGTTGCTGCCACGTTGTATTTTTATTGCCTGAGTCGTGTGATCAGGATGCGAGGCTGTACCAAGACTGTAGGGGCTGCTTAAGCCCCGCCCACACACCAGTCCAGCTCGCTGTCACATGACCTTCTGTTCAGTCATCATGTGACCTGAGTCATATTGAGCTCAGGCTTCAGTGCAAAGAAAAGTGATTGTTTATTTTTGTCATAAAACAGTTCATAACGACTCTAACTAAAACGGCATAAAACTCTCCGATCTGCCTTTAAATCAGTTTCCAACAAGAGTGTTTTCAGAAATAACTTTTTTAATCCATTTTCTTTGAATTTTACAGTTTCTCTGCCGAAGCGGTGGGAAATCCCTTCGTATAATGTGCGTCGTCGTCATGGAGCTCATGTCTGTTTACATGAACGTTGAACTCGTACCGTCGTAGGCCTGCAGGGGGCGCTGGTTCTGTTTCAGATGGAATTTTTTGGTTACGCTGCAGTCTACGTTAATAAAAATGGCCGCCGTGTTGCTGCCACCTCATATTTAAAGCCAAGCGATCAGTTTTTTATTAAACTCTGCCATGTTGTATTTTTGAATAAATCTTAAAGTTAAACATCCAGAAAATATCCTTGCTTATACGGAGGGGGTGGGGCTTAAAACAGTACATCGGCTAGCCACTAGGGGGCACTGGTCGTTTCTGGCTTAGTCCTGTATCATTATAAAGCATCTTCGTTTGACTCTTTAAGGCCCCGCCCCCTGAATGTTTTGGTCTTCTCTGATTGGTCAGCTGTTTGACCAAAATAGGGCAAAGTCAAATCTAGCTCCGCCTTCTTTATTTTAGTCTAATTAGCTTCCATTCTAAAAAAAAATGTATTTGTCAACACTACAAATTTCACTCGCAGGAAGTTTTTTGCGTAAACGAACGTCGCACATAAACGTCCGATGGAAGAAGAAAAAACGTTTAACATTTTTACCTGAAATGAGTCTTTTAAACGTAAATGTTGCTAAATGATTTTATTTAAACGTGTTGCGACAGTTTTAAACAGATTCTGTTGGTTTCTGTCAACTTCACTTTTATATCCCAACTAGAACAATTACCTTCAACATATCAACTATTACAATAAAATTAAAACATGTTTGTTTTTAGGCGGCACTTGTCTAAAGTGATAAAATCGTGGTTTTCATGAAGTATCAGATCACAAACACTTATTTCATCAGACAGATTGTGAATAAATGTCTTCATGGATGTTTTTCTACTGGAACACATGACAGTGCTGCAGCTCCCCGATGTGACAGCGCTGATGCTAAACAGCTGAACTCTTGTTGACGTGTTGAAAACTAAACAGAACCCTGAAGGTCCGAACAGCAGCTCAGGGGTCAAACGTCCTCGCAGAACAAATCTGCGTCTCCAAAAACTGGACTAAAAACTGCTGTCGGGTCAGGAAAACAAAGAGCTCCATCTTCTTTCTCTCTCAGGCAGGAAATGCCAGCGGAGCAGGAGATTAAAACGACAAGACGCAGCAGAACTCCCCGTTACACAACCGGGCCGGCGGGTCAGAGGCCTCGAAGGCCCGGCTGCACGGTGGAAAGAAAACACATTCATCACGAGGTCCATTAAACGTTTCAGCTGATTGTGCACAAACTGAAGAGGCTGACCTGAGCGGGACACCAAGTCCGGTTCTTCAAGGTCCGAGGTCCAAATATCTGAGTGACGGAACCAAGTCTGAGTTTAGAGTTCTGCAGTTACAACAGATCTGGTTTATTACAGCACAAAATGTATATTTTATATTTATTATTAAATGCAACTACAGCAACTCGATTTATAATCTGTGAATTTATTCAAATTTATTTTGGAACTTTTTGTCTTTTGTGGCAATTTTTGGCTCCGGTTCTGTTTTTAATTAGAATTAAAGTGACAACGACAAACTAGAACTTGCAGTTTTAATCCGCTCTAATCTTTATTACAAAATTAAAAAAAACACTTCATCTATTTTGTTCTTCTTCTCTTGAGTTAAGAAGTTCAGAATCAGGATAAGATCTAAATCTAGTTTTCCTCAGCTGCTCTGCAGCACCACCTGCTGAAAGAAGTTTTCTGTCACAAGAGCCAAATGTTTAATAAAAATACACAAATTCTCAGTTAAACATAAAGTCACTAGCAAAAACTAATCTACCGAAATCTGTTTCCTTCTAAATTTCACTTTTTACTAAAATTAATTTCTCATTTAATCTAAAGACCAGGACCAATAAACACTTGAAAACTTTACAAGACAAAAATCTGAAATAACCTAAATGTCCCTACACTGTCATTACAAAACACAGGCCAGTTGCTATAAGTAGCCAAAGGCTAGCTAAAATCTAAAAGTAGCTAAATTCTATTGGAAGTAACAACTCACTAGCCAAAAGCTAAAAAGTGCCCAAAGGCTAGTTTAATGCTAAAAGCAGTAAAACAATCATAAAGCTAAAAGCATTCAAAGGCCAGCTAAAAGCTACACATAGCAAACCCATCAGAAGGAACAAAACAATAGCTAGATGCTAAAAGTGACAAAAGGCTAGTTAGATGCTGAATACTAAATGCAAAAAGTATCAAAAAGGATATTTAAAAGCTAAAAGTTGGGCAAAGGTTAAGTTAAAAGTAGTGAACAGTAGCTAGAAACTAAAAGTAGCAGAATTTTAAGCAGAAAACAGCTGGAGCAGATTTAAGTTTGTTGATAATTCAAAATATCTGAAAGTGTTGAGAGTAAAATGTAAATGAAGTTAAAACAACATTTATAAATCATAAAAGCCACCTTTTTAAATGCGCTGAAGCTTAGCATTAAACACGTGCTCACATTTAATTTAAGTCTTTTAGGTAGTTTTATTTTTGTAAATGACAGAGAGCAGGTTTCGAAATCCTTTATTGTGAAATCCACAGGGACCGGAAGTTGACAGTTAGCATCTCACAGGTTTCTGCTCGGAGTCCGAGTCCAGGTGTGAACATGTTACCTTTATCCATTAAAGATGACGAGTACAAACCGGCCAAGTTCAACCTGCTGGCGAAGCTGTCCGGATGGTTCAGGTAAGCCCACCTGAGGCCCGGCTCTAGCGGCTCGTTAGCCCGTGCTAACCGGTTAGCACGGGCTAACGAGCCGCTCCGGCCGCATCGAACCGGGTTCTGTCAGAATGTCAGGCGGTTCTGTGGAGTTCGACGGGTCGGCTCATGTGTCTGAGTGTAACCGTGAGGATGGAAGGAGCCCGGGTTTGGTCCCGGTTCGGTTGTTCCTGCTGGGTCAGCTTGTGTCGTGTTTGTGTTCCAGGTCCATTTTAGCGGATAAAACCTCCAGGAACCTGTTCTTCTTCCTCTGTCTGAACCTCTCCTTCGCCTTCGTGGAGCTCACCTACGGAATCTGGAGCAACAGGTAGGCTAACGGCTGTGCGCGCGCCTCGGGATGTGCCACGTATGTGTTAGCGTTAGCCGCGCGTGCTGGGCCCCGCCATCTTTAAATTCAACTTCCGGTCAACGCTTCGCTTCAGTTGGAGCGGTTCTGGTTCAGTTCTCTGGACTTTCTGAACATCTTTAAAAAGTTTTTTTTACTCCTTGTTCAGAGTTATTTGATGGGTTAAATTGTTTAAAGAGTTAATTGATCATTGAGTCCAGTTGTTTTCTAGATTTTATTTATTTTTACAATCAACAGCTTCTGCAGACCGTTTTATTTTAGCTGTTCGTGAATCAAAAGGTTCGGCTCATTCAACAGATGGAGCTGTGACTTTTACACTTTATAATATATTTAACTTTGTTTACAAGTAGTTTCCCTTTGAACACATGGAGATCTTAATTCTTTAAAACAAATATCTGCTTCAGAAATCTCTTTCAGCTCCGCCCGCTGTTTATCTTCTTAAGCTACTTTTAGCTTTTAGCTGGTGTTTTCATACTTTCAGCTTTAAGCTAATCTTTTTATATCTTTAGGTAAGAATCTGTCCAGATGACCTGACTTTACTTTTATGGATTTATTTACCTGGATGACTGTTCTGGTCCAGACTGATCCAGACCTCGTCTCCTGACTCTCTCTGTTCTGGTCCAGACTGATCCAGACCTCGTCTCCTGACTCTCTCTGTTCTGGTCCAGACTGATCCAGACCTCGTCTCCTCACTCTCTCTGTTCTGGTCCAGTCTGATCCAGACCTCGTCTCCTCACTCTGTTCTGGTCCAGTCTGATCCAGACCTCGTCTCTTCTGACTCTCTGTTCTGGTCCAGTCTGATCCAGACCTCGTCTCCTCACTCTCTGTTCTGGTCCAGACTGATCCAGACCTCGTCTCCTCACTCTCTGTGTTCTGGTCCAGACTGATCCAGACCTCGTCTCCTCACTCTCTCTGTTCTGGTCCAGACTGATCCAGACCTCGTCTCCTCACTCTCTGTGTTCTGGTCCAGACTGATCCAGACCTCGTCTCCTCACTCTCTGTTCTGGTCCAGACTGATCCAGACCTCGTCTCCTCACTCTCTGTGTTCTGGTCCAGACTGATCCAGACCTCGTCTCTTCTGACTCTCTGTTCTGGTCCAGTCTGATCCAGACCTCGTCTCCTCACTCTCTGTGTTCTGGTCCAGTCTGATCCAGACCTCATCTCCTCACTCTTGTGTTCTGGTCCAGACTGATCCAGACCTCGTCTCTCCTCACTCTCTGTGTTCTGGTCCAGTTTAGGTCTGATCTCAGACTCCTTCCACATGTTCTTCGACTGCACCGCCCTGCTGGCAGGACTCGCAGCCTCCGTCATCTCCAGGTGGAGGTCCAACGATAGCTTCTCCTACGGGTGAGTCTCCTTCGTTGCTCCGAGACCCGTGGCTCGGGTCGGATCCAGAGTCTCACCTGTCTCTGTCCCCCTGGTTGTCTCTCAGGTACGTCCGAGCAGAAGTCCTGGCGGGCTTCGTCAACGGGCTCTTCCTCATCTTCACCGCTTTCTTCATCTTCTCAGAAGGAGTCGAGGTAAATCACAGAAACGTTCTCGTTTAAGTTGAACTGTTTGTTCCGGTTCTTTGTTGAACCCCCTGCTGCCCTCGGGTTCAGTTTGACCCGAGGGCAGCAGGGGGTTCCATCCAATGAAACAAGAGTCCGGGGTTTGGCAGAATTCAGAGGTTTCATTTGAAGCCCGGCGTCTCGTTGGACTCCAGGTTCTGTTGGACCTTCTTGAACAAATCTGGAAACTTATTTTAATCTTTAACAAATCCTTCACTTCCTGTTCGTAAACCTCTTTTAAAAACACTCGTTTTCTCTGGTTTTAGTATTTTATTGTTCTGTCGTTTTTCTTTAGATTTTTAATTAATTTTTCAGTTTTATTTTTTAAATTCGCTGATTTTTATTGTTGAGCACTTTGGAAACAGCTGCTGTTTTAAATGTTCTTTATAAATCAAGTCGACTTTGATCTCTGAGACGGTTCGGCTGATTTGATGTCCACTTCCTGTCTGTCAGCGGGCTCTGGAGCCGCCCGACGTTCACCACGAGCGCCTGCTTCCTGTCTCTGTGGCCGGTCTGATGGTCAACCTGGTCGGGATCTTCGTGTTTCAGCACGGAGGACACGGACACTCGCACGGAGACGGAGGTAACGCCTGCGCACGCCACCTGTCTCATTACAAACACACCCGCCTCTCAGTCCCCTCGGTTCAGTCGTGTTGTCAGACGTCAAGTGACGTGGACCTCGGTGAAGATGTGGCGAAGCCACCGCCAGGTACCCGTAAGGTCCACTTCTTATTTTTGTCTCCAGTCTTAGTCCCATCGGTCACCAAAGCTCTTCACTGCCGTCTCACGCTTTGTTTTTTTGTAATTAAATCCCGTTGGCTTAGGGCGGGCTTCAGACTTCTGTCGGCATCTTGTCACACTCGGTCGCAGCGCAGAGACACGGGGACCTAAATGAGACTTTCTGCATCACGATGGACGTTTATAGTTTATGTCCTTTGTCTCTGTGCTGGTCTTCACGTGTTTGTCCTCAGGTCACGGTCACAGTCACTCTCTGTTCAACGGCAGCGTGAATCACAGCCACGGAGGACACGAACACCACAGCAAACAGACAGACTGGCACGGACACGAAGGACACAGCCACGGAGGACATGGACACAGCCACGAAGGACACGGACACAGCCACGAAGGACACGGACACAGCCACGGAGGACACGAGGAACCTCACGGTGAGAATAGACTGACCCGGCAGTCTTCAGGGGACAGAAGTGGGACACATCGTTTATTTTTCTCATGTTTTATTTTTCAGACGAGCTGAGGAAAGGCTCCAGCAAGCAGATCCTGCAGGGTGAGAACTTTAAAAAATAAAATGAATCACAAAACTCACCGCAACACAAACAGGCAATGAACAAAAAGATGCAACAACTTTTAGATTATAGATTGTGTTGGATTAAATTCAGCAGAAGTCAAATGTGGAGTCTGAAACAGAAATCTGAGCTCCAGACTAAACAAAAACAAATCACTCCTCGTCTTAAACTCCCGCGGCCACCAGGGGGAGCTCTCGCATCATAACACAGGCGGCGGCCATGTTGCTCAGTGCTTCATGCTCTGATCCATTCAAGTTTTAATCTCGTTTTGAGCATTTGATTATTAACAATATTACATTTTAACAAATAAGTAACCAACACATTTAATTTTAGTTTTCTTTAAAAAAACAACTTCTGTTTGAGTTATTTATTTTTCTAAATATGGATGCACCTCTGTGTCCTGCCGTGAATCTGTTGCTTTTATTTTATGCACTAAAAACTTTATATTGTCTTGCAGCACACAGATGTTTGTTTAGGAGATATTTTGCTAACAGAAGACAATCAACATACAGGAAATATGGTTTATCAGAATTACTTTCTTTTTTAAATTGTGACACTTTTAAGAATCAACGGTTCAGGGTCTGTCAGATAATATATTTCTTCAATCGGATCAATTTCAAGCTGTTCTGATCGTCACTAGTGTCTGTGTTAATAAAGTTTTGCTGTTTCGTGATCGTCACTAGTGTCTGTGTTAATAAAGTTTTG